GGTTATCAGACGAAATGTAGGTCAATGTAGTTGAGCTAAGTGTATGTGGCTGATAGATTTAGTGCTAGCTATAAATATGTACATGCCTTGTTCGTTTCGAATAAGAGGAATTTACTCTTAGATCAGTGGATATTATTAATCAAGCATGACTGCCTCGTTGGCTAAGTGATCGCAAGTGTGACTGCCGGGCAAAGGGTCTCCGGTTCGATTCCCAGATTGGGCAAAGTGTTACTGGGTTTAAAATCCTAATTGTAGCACGGGGTCTAGAGTTGTGCCCGGTATATGGCAATAGGCTCACCCCCTATTTCATGGGACTCATAACATGAAAAGTGGATGTTACATTGTACAGTGGCATTAAGTGCCGTAATGTGCACCTCGGCCTACCCCTTCGGGGATGTTGTCGCGGAGAACCTAACGGGTAACCGGGGCTCCGGCTCGACGTGCAGGAGAAGGAATGGGGTGGTTTTTAGTCAGTAAGAGTCTGACACTCCCTCCCGCCTCACCCAGGCGGGGGCAGTCATTCGATGATTTTCCCCCCTTAAAAAAAAAAAAAAACCCCTTCGGGGATAAAAAGGCGTGATGTTATGTATAAAAAAATGTTTAAGCATAACATCACGCCTTTTATGTTCTACAATGTCTCTGATACATATTTCAATACTGTACGCATATGTAAGAACAATGCAAAGACACGCTTGCGTATATTATATTGCGCGAGTCATAAAGAATAATAGGAGTCGGCCATAATAGATATCAGTTAATATCAATTTAAGAAATGAACACACCATCATTGTAACGCAAATCATCATAGGTATAAACTTCGATACGGGAAATCGATTAGTTCCACAATATTGTTGGGAGTCGATACAAGTATCGAGTTCCTCTATTACCAAGCGATTGAATATAATGTTACAGTTTCACTTACGATGAAACCTTACAAGTGACTGTTTTAAAGACTGGACATTAAAGTTTCTTCTTGCAGTTTTACACTCTACTTCGATATACCTACGGTCGAAATTATTCTGTCTTAGACTAAGATACGAGATGTTTGCAATAAGGTCGATTTTTCATTGACATCCGTTGTCTGTTCTAAAAGTTTTTAAATGGATCCTATGTGGTTTTTTTTTAAGTATTTGTATAAATTAAGATTATATGTTATTGATTTTATCCTATTTGTGTCGTGGACAGTCGTGGTGGCCCAGAGGTTAAGACGCGTCCGCTTCTCATGCATAAGAGTGCGGGTTCGAAGTCTATCAACAGCGACAAGTATCAATGTTTCTTTTTCCGATTTATATGTACTTTCTAAGATTATTTAATATTTAGACACCCCTGACAAACGGTGAAGGAAACATCTAAGTTTGAAATCGACAACCTGCATTGAGCAAGCGTGGTGTTTAATGCTCAAACCTTCTCCGTGTGAGAAGAGGCTTTACTCAGCAGTGGACATTTAAAGGCTGTTGATGATTGATTTCATCCATTAGCCATAGTGACAATTATCATTCTGAATAGCATGGCAAAAAGATAGAAGTTCTAAAAACAATCCTACGTTTGTGTCTAATTGACAAACATTCCACATTGGGCTTGCACTCTTGGTCCAAGTATAGAGGTCCACCTTAGGCCTAAGTTATAAGTGTCATCTAAGTTATATTACCACAACATACCTTGGTATGGCTTTTTTTGAGGTTGGATAATATAATGAATAATCATCGAAAGACTGCTCCCGCCTGGGTGAGACGGGAGGGAGTGTCAGACTCTTACTGACTAAAATCCACCCCGTTCCTACTCCTGCACTTTGAGCCGAAGCCCCGGTAACCCGTTAAGTCCTCCACGGCTCCGTATCGGCACCAGCCCTATAGGGCCCCATCTGTGGTGGTCTGATGGCTCTTTGAGTCTTTGAGGCGCGCGCGGAATGCAACGCGCCGTACACTCGGATTTGGTTCTGGTCGGGATTACTGGGATACTATACTGGTGGCTTACGATGGCCGGAGATCGTCTCGCGATCCCCGACGCCTAGAGTGTCTCTAGCGACGGCTGGGTCGTGAGGAGGCTCGTTCCCTCACATGCCCCGCCTCCTCCTTAGCTAGCATGACTGTCTCGCAGAAGGAGGAGACGGCATCCTAGTCTCCCTCGCTCCGTACCATAGTCTGAACTAGAGCCGGACGCAAGAGATCGCCGTCGCCGATCACATCACATGAGGAAACTTAGTATGGCTAGATTTATTACGATTGATTGGAACCAGGATTTTGTATAGACATTCTCTCATTAGCACTAGACGAACAAGGTAAGTTTTTGTTACTGTTGTTTTTATAGCATAATTGAACGTAGGCAGGTCAAGTTAGACAGCTAACACTAATTTAATGTTTGACTACTATGGCGTCACACGTGTTTAGATTAGACTATGAATTAATTCATAGAGCTTAAGCTGACTTGTGAAAATATAATTTTGGTCTGTGCCTAGCTAGCGGGATGTTTAAAAATTTATTGCTGGGTAAAAAAAATAGATTCTTTTTTCGAATTTGTGTGTAGCTAATAAAGTTGAGGTCATCATAGTTAGGGTGTTTTGTTAACCTGTGCGTATCTTTAGTATGTAGAGGTCAGGGGCGTGCACAGAGATTTGAAGCAGGGTAGGCAGAAGGTATTACATGATTAAAAAAAATTTGGTCTACATTAATCTCGGAAAATAAAACTCCCGAAACATCATAACTATGAGTAGGTAATTAGGTTTAGTAAGTACATATTTTATTAATTTGTATAAACAAATTAGGTACATAATAATTTTCAAACTATCCGTGTATAAAGTTGATCAACATAGATACCTAGGTATCTATTTTACAAATCTATTAACTAGGTACCTACTTTGGAGCGGCGAAGTACAAATGGTTACACATCAAGCTATGCAACACCAGTATAAACTGACCGTTAAATGCATAGAAAAGTCGTACAAAGCGAGATCAAGATGACTGGATTTTAAAAACATTAATGAAATTGGTACACAACCAGTGCTAACAAAACAAACTATACCTATAATCGCAAATCGTAGTTTATTAAAAGAAATAATAAAATTATTACCTTTTTTGAGTTACGCCTAGCCCGGACATACGACACACGCAAAATCGCCTTTGGAAATATTTTCGTTTCTTCTTCGAACGACAATAGGACAACGCACTCATATTTAATTTATTGAACAACACAAATCACCAGCACAGAGCTCAGAGCTATAATTTTACATAATTTTCGGTAAATTAACAGTTCATTTAAATTATAATTCATTACATTACAATTTATTCAGTTGCACATAAAAACATAACCAAAACAAAATGGCCAAAAAAAACGTAAACAATAAGTTTACCAAAATTAATATATCTATTTTCAATCAACAAACGCTACGTTTTGTTGACTTCTTAAATTAGGCGGATAACGAAGAAGCAGTGCTTTTGCAGTTGTATAGAAATTACCAACCTAACAAAAAAAAAATCCAACATCAGCACGAGAAAACAAGCAAATTGTACCGGCTACGCATTAGTACGTGCTTCCGCCACCATCACACAATAGCGAGGTGGCGGCGCCACGGGCGCAATGCTTCAATATATCGAAGAAAGTAGAAAGTGGTTCTAGTACTTCAATATTTTTTCGATAGATGGCGTTAGTGACCAGTTTTTCAAATTAAGTATCAATAAAATTACGAAATCTCTGTATGATGTCAGTAAATATTCATGTCGTGTTTATGAGTGACACTATGTATTTGACTATGTAGGTTTACCATGATTTTGTAGGGTATGCAGTGCTTATTTGCATGTATGGTGTGCACGCCACTGGTAGAGGTACACAAAGAGGAGTTCAGGTACGTATATCCTGCCTGTACAATAGATATATTAAAGCCCTCGATTTCGTTTATACCCAGATCCAGTGGAATGTCTATTCTCTTGTGGAATGTAACGATTTCAATAAATCAATATTGTGTTGTGTTCGAACTGGTTAAAACACTTCCAATATTACCAATATTTTAGTCAGTTCATTGACCTTCCAAGGTCACGACGGTTGAGATAATAGACTCGTTTGTCGGCTGGTACAAGGTTCGATTTTCGGGTAGCGAATAAAATTCTTAAGTTTTGTTTAATATTTATAGGAATTTATTTTAATATTTTTATTGTTTGGTGTTAATTCCTTTTACTATGGGTTAATACTTTAATTAGTCCGATTGGATGATTCACAACAGTATTAATGAAAGTAATTGACATTACAAGCGTAGGTATGTGTTGTAGGTATACATACCTACTACCTATTGTATGTAGGACGATAGAGTATTTATTTTTGGTACTGTCTGGCTTTTTATCAGTAACAGAATATTAAGTTTCAAGTTCATTGCTATGCTATTCCACAAAGCCTAAAGAATAATGTAATAAAACAAACATATGACATTAAACTTAACTGCCTCTAAACTAAGGTTTAAAATCGATCAACCTGACGCCTCGCCTGTAAAATTATGGCGCGACATTCCAAGAATTGGCGGGGAACGAATTTCAAACATGCAGATTTTTTTTGTTGTAGGCACGGTTCAAGCCGATACAGCCTTTGCGAGATGAGGTTTTAAAATCAGGTTTTGCCTTTTTGGATTCGGGCTTAATAATTACCTACATGTCTACCTATTTCAATCTTGGCTTTGCTTTTTTATTTAAATGTTTTTGTTGATAAGTCAGGTCGAAGAATCCAGGTATGGTATGACTAATGCAAAATATTATTTCTAAAGAAGTAAAGAGTTAAATTCTAATAAGAATGCGTAATGATGTTACACAATTTCTCCTTGATATTTCAGCCGCTGCATAAATTATTTCAACAGTGCACTGGCGTGCATCTTCGTGCAAGTGTAATTAGAGCTCCGCCAGAATGTAAGCAAGTAAATAACAGGGAGCGCGTGTCACAGTGCGTTGTGCTTCGGTCAACGCCTTCACAACTAGTCACACAACTTTTTAAACATAAATAACTATACATTATTATTATTATACCTTAAATTCACAGCTTATTTTTAAAATCCCAACTACTGCTTCTGTCGCAAAAATATTGACATCCAAAAAGTTTGCAGCCAAAAAGTTCGATTAATAAAATAAAAACTTTTTTCAGAAATGTCAATAAATTAAAAACAAATTAGTTTAAAACTTATTTTACAAGATTCACTGTTTTTTACATTTTTTTATTGTATTTTTTTAAAAACTTTTTATTTATAAACACAATATTGACGACGGACGATTATGTTTATCGCGCAGGCGTTTAGTATCGAGCGTTGCTTCCTCGCTAGCCGGCGGCAAACTAGTTTCGTGTTCATTTGGATTCCCACCGTTGCACTGCATTTCTCCGCGGCCAGACAGAAACAATACTGCCCTCTCTTTCTGAAGCTTTTTTACGTCACTATGAAGCTTATCACTGATACTGATTCAATGGAAATAAGGAATGGACCTGCTTTATATGCTGGTAGAGTTTAAAGAACAATCGAATGTAGTCGATTTCAATGTAAATTGTTAATGATTATGAGAAACACTGTTGGCGTTAGAAGGAATGGAATATAAATAGATGTAGTTATTTTTAGGATGTTGCTCTTGAACTTCGTAGCGTAGTAAGTACCTAATAGGGAATATTGACTGCCTTATTGGTTGAACAGTCGTATTTACCTTCGAGCATGAGATTTTGGGCTTAATACCTACTTTAATTATAAAAAGATAAGCAGTTTTAGATTTTGTTTAAACGCCTAGATAAAAACTACCTGTTTTTATTAGCTGTAAGACGCATTTAGGGGCTGATTTTTGTCAGGCGCTCAGTGCAACGTAAATGCGACTATAGCTGGTTCTCTTTTAGATTGAAGCTTAATACCTAATTACGGCCGAGACACCGACCGAGATTATTAATTGCTCAGCAGTCGCACTTCCGACCACTCAACCAACAAGTCAGTCGCCTCTGGGTGATTCTCCAAAAAAAAAACCAAAAAATTAACGGCGTCATTATCCTCAAGCCACAGTTAACAATTTTGCTGATTAAAATACAAAGTTTCGTTTCAAAAAATTGAGCCATGTCACTGCTCTCACCCAATGCAATAAATACAGATGCTAATAAGTTACTGCGATGCTTAACAACGCGGGAGGATAATGATTTGTTAAATAAAAGTTAAAGTTTTTTGAAGAAACACCCCTCTACTCGTTACAATCAATGGTTACAACTCAGAAATCTAGGCGTGAAATACAAAGTTGTAAATATTATTATGCATAGATATATTATAGGTTTTGCTCAGCAGTGGACATTTATAGACTGTTGATGATGATGATGATAGATATATTTTGTAAAATTATAATTATCTGTGGTACCGTAAAATGGGGTGAATACAGATCGGGAGGTGAATAGGGACAGAAGAGGGGTGAATAGATATAAGGAAATTCTTCATAGTATCGAACTACTCCTCTTCTGTCCCTTTTCGTCGCTCAAACCCTATTCACCCTTTTTTACCGTAGTGTCATAGTGTCGTGTGGTGTCTTTATAATAGGAATATCTTTAAGAAATTATTATTGAACTAAGGAGGATTTTGTCCGATCCCTGTGATTTTGTTTGGGTGAAACCGAACGTTAACGTCAACACAGCATGCCATTTTGACATATACATAACCTCAAAACTGATATAAATTCCACCTGTGTTGGCTGTGTTTTGTTTGTGAAATTGTGTTTAATGCTCATAAATTGTTGAAAATGAGTCAAGAAAACGTCAGTAATACTAATGATAATCATGAACGCGACGATCATAAGAGGAGACCGCGTAAAAAGCGTAAGAACTTCCTTGCGAACGCAAAAAAATACGCCAAAAAGGGACAGATGGGGCGAGGAACTAAGATTCCTGAAGAATTGTACCAATATTTCGTTGGTATCTTAGATGCTATGAAGCAGGGGATTGAAGACAAGGACGAGAGAAGTAAGTTGATTCATTTCTACATGATATTTCTGTGTTAAAAATAGTTTGAACATTAACAAGTTAAGAACCAACACCTCAAACAATTTTGCTCTTAAAAGTTATTATTAGTGTTAATAATGAATGGTTTCTTATCATTTTTTATTATTAAAATTAATAATTTAAATGTGTAATACTTGTTTAACAGTACTTGAGGCTTAGGTATTTACATTTACACAAAATTAAATGTGGTGCAATGCACACTAAACTCAAACTCAATAGCATTATCATCAACAGCCTATAACGGCCCAATGCTGAGCAAAGCCTCTTCTTACATGAAGAAGGTGTAAGCATTAATCACCACGCTTGCTCAATGCAGATTGTTAGAAATTATAAGCCCAGGTTTCCTCACAATGTTTTCCTTCACCGTTTGTTTGTCAGTGTTGTCTAAATAATCTTAGAAAGTACATATAACTCAGAAAAAGTCGCATTGGTACTTGCAGTTGGTAGGTTTCGAACCCGCACCTTCATGCAGAATGTCAGTGGTGTATGAATAATATTAGAAAGTACATATAACTCGGAAAAAGTCACATAGGTATTTGCCCTTGGTAGGTTATGAAGCTGCACCCTCATGCATGAGAAGCAGGCATCTTAAACTTTCAGGCTACCACAACTCGATCGTAATTATTTCAATTAAACCTGAATATAGTACTTTTGAAATGTCAACTAGTTCTGGTTGCCAAAATTCCTTAGCATAAGTATTAGATTTTCTATATCCGGGTATACCAATCAGGGTAAAGCACAAGTATTACAAACTGAAGTAATATGGGTAATTCTTATACATAAAATTAAATGAGAATTTTCATTCATCATCATTATTTCTAAAACATATAATTTCTTTTTTCAGCTGCCCTAGTAAACAATGTATTGGAATGCACCAAAGGAGAAGAACAAAATGTGATCGGCAACCAGCTCGGTTGCAGAGTTGTAGAGCTCTTACTGCCCTTTGCATCCCCAGAAGACCTAGAACGGTACATGGAAGTCCTGTCACCAGATCTACGTAGACTCTGTTCTGACAACTTCACCAGTCATGTGGTAGAGACCTTACTACGATCAGCCTGTGAACGAGCTACAGAACATTTACAAACCGGTGAAGACAATTCATCAGACTCTGATGAAGAAGAAGCACCGAAGAAAAAGAAGGCAAAGCTAGAACCGAAACCAGAAAAGAAATATGCTGAGGATCACATTAAGAAATGCTACGAATTTACTATTAAAATATCTAAATATGCTCTGAATAACTTAGAAGATTTCGTATGGGATCAATATGCCAACCATATACTCCGTAGTGTACTTAAATGTCTCAGTGGCATAACGTTACTACCGGGAGAGAAGCCTAAAGTAAATATATTCAAAGACAGTATAGATGACGGTAAAGGCATTCCACCTCACACAGGTAAAATGGTATACAAGACGGTTCCAGATGAATTCAAACAAATAGTCAAAGAGTTTGTGCACCGATTGACTTCGTGGCCACAGTTTAAAGATCTACCGTACCAGAATATTACTTCTGGGTTAGTTCAAGTACTGTTATACGCAATTAAGAATGTTGATAAGAATCTGACGAAGGAGTTGTTACGTCAACTGTTAGATGAGAGCTTTGCTCCGGAGGGCTGGGTGAACAATGGGACGGATGATAAGAAGGAGGACAAGGAATACAAGAACGGTGAAGGAGTAGCCGTGGATACTTCGAATCTACCGCCCGTGTTCGAATCTGAACCTGCTGTGAGGTAAATCATACATCACACAGTACTAGGACTATTCCTAGAATAACAACATGTTGACGGTCGGTTGGCGACCGTCAACATGTTGTTGGTGACCTTGTATGTTTATAAACGCACCTACGATACCTATACAAGAAAATCCTATGATAAATGTGTACAGTAATGAAATGGACAAGAGGTTTTATACAATAGACTGTTAGCTAGTGCGCAGTCTTATATTAAAATTTTTAACTGTGTTCTGTACAGGATGTAGAATTCCAATAGATTTCGTTGATATAATAATATTCACTAATAACTAACTTCATTACATTTCTAATTCGACTGTAGATGTTTTTGTTTGTTGATGCTGTAATTAAAAAACTTTTAACTATATAACTTAATAGCAGTTGCCCGCGACTTCAACCTTCGTCGAACATTTTTTAGTATACATTTTCTAAAATAATAACTGCGTATGTTAGTCCTTAGTATATCAGCTACCTGGCAGTAAAAGTCCCGACAGACAGACAGACAAACAAACATTAAAAATGCTATCGTATGTATGTATATTGTATATTTATATGCGTGTAGTAATGCGGTTATTTCAATATTACAAACAGACATACCAATTTTATTTATCTGTATAGATGATTTATAACCTCCATTTTGTCAGTTGCTCTGTGTTCTAAAGTAAATTATCTACTTCGCAGGATGTTAGAGGCGGCGCTCTTCGTGTCCAAGAAGAAGACGTACACGCAGATATACGCGCGCTGCTTCATCAACCGCCTCGGGCAGCTCGCCTGCATGCCCATGCTCAACTACACCGTGCAGCGACTCATTGACAACTGTCAGGTCAAGGAAGAGGTCAGACACTGTTATAGTATTAATATCGTCTATACTTTCTATCTAATTATAGGTCTCGTTTACAAAAAAGAGGTTGTATACGCCTGCGAAACTAATTTATTTGGACTCTCAACAAAAGATACACTTACATGCTAAAATACAAGGTGTTGCTTTAAAGCCGCCGTCATTTTCTAGGAGGTAACTCGGCTATCGATTCTGAGTCCGAATCAATATTTTTTTTTTATTTTTCTGTAAATTACGAAAATCCGTAAGTACGAACTACACACCGCAGTCTTGTAACTAGCTTTATAACGCAGTTGAACGCACACAAACTCAAACACGTAATTGATATTATTCCTAATTCCATAAAACTCCAATAAGAGACATTGCTTTCGCTTATTCTGAAATACTGTCGAACTTAAACGATTTATTATAGCCGTATACCTATTTAACTATTGGCCCGAAACTATCTCTTACATTGAACCTTTATGACTTCTGTGACACGCCCCCGAGAAATGCCACGATTTCAAAACTACACCTTGTATTAATATCGACTGTACTTTCTATCTAATTATGGGTCTCGTTTACAAAAAAGAGGTCGTCT